CTTGGTTCCACTAGCTACACAACCTCCCAAATACCAGGCAGTGTCTCCTGGACTGAGTTGTATTTTCTGTAAAATGGGTGGAAAACAGCCATCTCCCTGGCAGAGAGCAGATGCTCTTGCAAGCTTCAGGCCACACTGCAGGAATTTGACTCCCATGGCTTTCACTCGCCAGGCTTGGGTCTCCTTGTTGACCCTGGGGTTTGAAAGCCTTGTTGGTCTCTCCCCACCTCTCCAGTGGCCTGATTTCTGGTATGTTCCCTTGAGACTTCGGTGTCTTTATCGTATCTGTGGTCTGCTTAATCATGCCCGCAGATCTCTGAGCTTGCTTTTGCAACTTTGGCGGAGTTAGAACAACTTCTTCCGGAGAGCATTCCTGCTGTATTGCAGAGCAGGTCTCAAGTTGTTGGTATGAGGCCAGGGTGAGTGAGAGCTGAAGAGGGCTTCTCTAGAAAATGCCTTTGGAGGTGCCTGCCGCTCACACCACTTTGGCAACCCTAGGAGAATTGGGGGCTTGGGGTGGGACAGGAGTACAGAGCCAAAGAGTGTGGGCCTCACTGTCCAGGTACCAAAGTGTGAGCTCCTTCAGGATGGTAGGGAAACAGCTGGGACCTCAGCAGCTAGAGTGCTCTACAGAGAGTACCCATCAATGCCTGGGGTCAGAGGTCAGCTGGTGACATTTGAATCAAAAGAGCATCGGCAGATGGAGGTTGGCAGTGTGTCAAGTCCAATGATAGGGGCATGTTTTGGTGAAATGTCACCATGATGTAAAGGTTTCAGTCCCCTGGGGGGTGACGCATTGGTGCCTTCTCATCAACGGCGCCACTATCTGACTTGGGGGGGGCAGGCCTCAACTCCACTGAGCCCAGCAGTCTGCCCGGGAGGCAGAGGGGGGTAAGGAGGGTTGAAGAGGGAGATGGGATTGTTGGTGGAGGCTCCTCTGCTGCCTGGGTGGTGACAGGAAATCCATGAGGTGGCAGTAAGAAAGGGCTCTGGGGTCAGATGGAGCTGTGTTCCAATCCCGGTTTTCTGCTGGTTAGTTGTATCATCTTGCTTGAATTCTTTAAACACCAGAGGCCTCAGTCTCCTCATCTGTAAAATGGGATAGTGGAACCCAAACTCTGAGTCATTGGGAGGTGAATTTAGAAATTCAACATCTGGCACACAATAGGTCTCCCTCAGTGTAAGCCCCCTGCCAGCCTCCCTGGAGGGAGCATGTCCTCATCATTGGAAAGCTCCAATCAGCCTTGGACAGTGTATATGTCTCATTTGTAAAAAGTTTTTTGTTGTTTTTTTTTTTTTAAATTTTAAATGGAAAAGGGACTGAAGTGCTTTGGCCCTAAGTTCTGATTGAGCTGTTTGGGCAGCAGAGGCCAAATGGTAAGAACAAGCCAAGGGTGCTGGCATTGCCTGTGAAGTGAGCTGTCACTGCCAGGTTCCAGCTGAATCCTTGCCTCGGCCTCCTGATTTGCCTCTCTGTTCCCACCTTGCTTCCTTCCATATAGCGGCCAGCAGGATATTTGGAGCATGATCCTTCCATCCACTTATCTGATGCACATACCAGCTTGGTGGCACTGCCATAACCAAGGACCTCAGACTGGGTGGTTTAAAGAATAGACCTTTACTGCCTCCCAGTTCTGGAGGCTGGAAGTCTGAGATCAAGGTGTCAGCAGGGCTGGTTCCTTCTGAGGCCTCTCTCCTTGGCTTGTAGATAGCCATCTTCTCCCTGTGTCCTCTGTGTGTGTCTGTGTCCTAATCTCCTCTTCTTATAAGGACACCCGTTGTATTGGATTAGGGCCCACCTTGACGACCTCATTTAACTTAATCACATCTTTAAAGGCCCAATCTCCAAATACAGTCACATTCTGAGATGCTGGGGGTTGGGGCTTCTACGTTTGAATTTAGGAGAGACACAACCCAGCCTAGAACCCTGTGCTTCTTGCCCTGTGCCAGCACCATGCTGGACTCTGGGAATGCAGGCACGAGTGAGACACCAGCCCTGTTATGGCTACAATTCTGCTTAAATCTTCAGTGTTCTCCTGCTGCCCAAACTTAGCAGGAGCACCAAGATCTGGGCCTTGTCCCTCTCCAGCATGGTCCCAGTCAGGCCAGACCACTTGAGCCCCAGTCAGGCCAGTCCACTTGAGCCCCAGTCAGGCCAGACCACTTTCAGACCCAACAGTACGCCGCCCAGCATGGTGCCACGAATGGCAGGACCCAGGGCAAGTCTGATTTCCCAGGCCAGCGATTGACGCAAAGCAGAGACGGCTTGAAGAAACTCTTCCTCTTACCTCCTTTCACTTGTGTTTTCTTCCTGAAGGAAGGTTTCAGGAAACCCACGGTTCTCCCAACTCTAAAGCTCCACCTGAGGCTCTGTCAGTTCTCTTTGGAACCTTCGTGGGAAGCAGCAGCCTGTAGGCCCTGGGCTGGGGCCCTTTCATATTCATAGTGAAGCGGGCTTGTGGAGTCTTATGGGATAAGGTTGCACTTGTTCAGGGGAACATGCCAGAAGGATGCACATGGGACTTGTAGTTGTTTCATTGCCCTTTCATGTGTTGGCATTTTGCTTTGTTTTAAAGTCCAAGGGATAGGATGTGTTCACCACCTAGATCTGGCCTTGGAGGACTCTTGCCCTCTTTGGTTACAACCTTGCAGTTTCTGCCAACTCAGCCTGTCCACCTAAAGTGAACAGAGATTGACACTTCCATACTTGCTTGAGATTTTAAAGTAGAAATAACATATTAAAGATAAAGATGAAGCCCCTCACATGCTCCTTCCCAGTCCCATTGCCCTTACCCTAGAGCCAACCACCACCATGAACTTGGTCTGATTCAGCCCTGGTTTTACTGTACAAACACACGCACACATGCATACACACACATTATAGAACACATGTTATATAACATGCATGCACACATAACACATGTACACAAACACAAATGTACAGCTATGTGTATGTATGTGTATATAATATATGTATATATAACATATACATATAGATGTTTGTATGTACATACACATGTATATCCAAAAATATACAAAATATGATTTATGTTTTAAAATTTACATAAGTAGTACAATTAGCATAATATTCTACAACTTGCTTTTTTAACCCAACACGGTATTTGAGTTTCACTTATGCTGACACTCACATAGCTCTGGTTCATTCCTTTGACCTGCTGCATAATATCCTACCCCATGGCTACCCCACAGTTTATTACTGATTACCCCTACTGATAGCTGTTTGAGTTGTGCCCATTGGCAGTTTAAACCAAACCCAGGCATTAGTCTGGTTGAGTCACAGTTGAGCTGTATAAGCAGTTCCTGCTTCTGCGGGTGCCCTGCCCCTCCAGCAGCTTTAGCGTAGAGTAAAGCAAATGAGTACTGTCACGATGCCAGCGTGGACGCCTTGTGATGTCAATCCTCACTGTCACTTCGTCTCAAATCTTAGTCCAGCGTCAGTGTGTTTTGGCATCTCTCTCAGCCTGGCCTTCTGCAGCTGGGAAATGTTCTTATATGGTGGCGTGACTAACCTGAGACATCAGGGACCCCGACTGCGTTACTGGGTTTGAGTCCCAGTGAGGCGAGCGAGCACGCAGAAGTCCTCCCCGCAGTCCCTGGGGCTCTGCCCCAAAGGGAATTCCGACGAGGGAGGCCACATGTGACTCACGCCAAAGAGAGCCAGGCCTCCCCTCCGGATGGTGGTTATTTTTATCTGAAGTTCGGGCTTGGTCAGGACCCTGGAGAGTTTCCAGGGTCGGAGTGGGAACTGCCTCTTTCCCACAGCTCCCGGCCTTTGCTCTGCCTCCTGGGATTCCCGGCTCTGCCCTTCAGCCTCGGCTCGTCCCCTCCCTGCCCCACCCTATGTCTTGTCCCTGAGGATGTCCTCCTCTGGCTGCGGTCTTTCGGTCCCAGCCAGCTTGACTGCGGGTGAAGAGCAGAGGAGTCTTGCTGAGAGAATGGAGCCCCCCAGGAGCCCGAGCGGGTCAGCACTGAGGCACGGCCGTTGCCCTTCCTACCCAGGGAGCCCCTCCTCTAGCTCCCTATGATGTCTTAAGTCAGCCCTGTCCCACTGAGTAGGGGCTGTGGCTTTCCTCGCCTATCTCCCCGGCCCAGCTGGGAGCCCCTTGAGGCCAGGGCCATCTTCATGTCCCGAGGTCTAGCACCAAATAGGTGCCCAATAAAAACCACTGGGTGACTGACTGAGTACCCATGTGAACCACTAACCAAACAGCCGAAAGGATAATGCCTGGCAGTGCCTGGAGCAGGCAGGAGCTGGGGAGGGGAGGCCACGTGCTCGGTTGTTGAGCGGGTTTACCAGGCAGGCTCGGGGATAAGAGTGGGGTACACAGCACCCCTTGGAGGTCCTCTGTCATTTCCTCTGAGGATCACGTTGACAGGTGACTTGTGGGCAGAGCGCTCAGCTGGGTCCCTGGCTGGGGCTGGGTGACATGGTGGAGTGTGTGACGACTGTGTGGGTGGGGCCAGTGGAAGGGCCATGACAAGAGGAGCCTTGTGCAATGCAGGGTTTGGGGCTTCCTTTTAACCACATTGGTAAACTGAGTCTGACTTCACAGGGACCAGGAAGCTTGCTACTGACTTTGGTTCAGGGCAAATCCTTTGGTGATGCGAAATGACCTTATCAATCTCCTTTGGAAGCAGGAGACAGAGCTTAACTCAGGCTGTAGACCCACCTGAATGAGTAGAAATGCTGACTCGACATTAGAAAAGATGGTGACAAGAGAGCCTGGGTCCAGGAGAGACTGTGCCAGGATGTCCCATGTGGAGGCCGGGCAGCCTGCCCTGCTGGAAACCCTTTGCTTGAATCCCAGCTCCACCACTTCCTGTCTGAGGGACTCTGGTTGTTTAGCTCCTGTGAGCCTCAGTTTCCACATCTGCAAAGTGGGGAGAATACTACCTGCGCCGTTCCCCGCTCGAGCCAACACTGTAGCTGGTTTGACACTGACTGGCTGTTTCTCCGGCCGCCCTCTGCTTCCTTTCAGGTCTCTCGAGCCCCCAGCTCTGCCTCCGGAGCCCGGCTGCCCCATCTTGCCGCAGGAGAGGAGCCATGAGCGGCGTCCTGAACGGCCTCTTCCCCTTGGGGCTGGTGCTGCTGGTCTGTGGCTCCCAAGGCTTTTTCCTGCCCAACGTCACACACTTAGAGAAGCTGCTCAGCAAATACCAGCAGCATGAGCCCCACCCCCGGGCCCGCCGGGCCATCCCCAGGTCGGACCAGGAGGAGATCCTCATGCTGCACAATAAACTGCGGGGCCAGGTGTACCCCCCGGCCTCCAACATGGAGTACATGGTGAGTGCTGGCGCCCCACCCGGGCGGGCGGCCGGGCTCTGTCTGTTTTGTCCCCAGTCACTGGGTGTGTGGCAGGCTTGGGGTCTCAGGCCACAGAGGGTCCCCTGCCTCTGTTCTTGATGCCTTGCCAAAACAGCACCCATGGGTGCCCCAGCAGAGGCTGTCTCATTGCCAGCTCCTCGTGTCACCTCTCAAGCTCAGCCCATGTCCCCGCCCTGAGTCTTTCCTCAGGCCTCTGGAAGGCAGAGCAGGGAGGGCTGGGCTGTGGCAGGGTCAGTCCCAGCTCTGCCACCTCCTGCATGTGTGACCTGGACATCAGCCAGCCTGAGCCTCAGTTTCCACTTTGAGCACCCCTTCCTGCCATGGTTCCCGTGACAGCTGAGTGCAGACCCTGCGCCTGGGGCTGTGGTGTTGCTGTGGCTACGGTGCCAGCTGGCCTTCCTCCAGCCCTCCAACTGCACCTTCTCCGTCTGAGGAGAGTGTGGCCCAGTCTGTGAGTTACGGTGTCTGTTGGAAAGGAGAAGGGGGAGGAGGGACAGTGTGGGGGGGTCCCTCTGAATCTGGAGAAACCCACACTTAGGAGCAGAAGGGACGACAGCTCTCCCCGTCCAGGTCCCCCGCCCCGCCTTCACGCTCGCGTTTCCATTCCTGTCAGTACCATCCCCCATCCCCCCAGCCCTAGGAACTAGGTGCCGTGATTTTGCCCATTTAATAGATTAGGAACTGAGGCCCAAGGTCACACAGTTGGCAGTGACAGAGCCAGATGCCGTCTGAGTCCAGCCGACTCCAGGGCCTGTGCTCTCAGCCACCACTCTGTGTCCAGTTAAGTACCTCGCGCCACCCCCACCAGCTACCGTGTGTTTTCCACCCGGTCTCCCCACCCTGTTCCTGTCTCGCCTTGATTAGTGGGACAGCCTCAGCCCCGGGGGTTCCACCAGCCATCTTGCCCTCTGGCTCATTCTGAATCCTGCCATCTGTCATGTTAAGCTCCTAAATCTTCACTTTCTTCCAACCTTCCTCCTGCTCAGGAGCCTCTAGGGCCCTCTGTGCCCAGGATGAAGCCCACATGCTTCTTGCCTGGCATCCGAGGCTTCTATCAGGAGCCCTGTCTGTCTTGATGACTTGTCTCCCTCCTTCCTCTTTGGCCAGAGGGGTCTGCTGGGTGTCCTCCGAAGATGCCGTGTGTGTGTGACAGCCACAGCCCCTCCCTCCCGAGAACACTTCCCCTTGTCACTTTCTTTATTCAACTGCTCCGCAGCCCTCACCCTATGCCACGCTCCTGTCCTTCCCCTGGACTCAGCTGTCGTTTTGCATGATGCCTTGTGCCCTGAAGTTGGTAGCGCTTGTGGTTGGGGACCGTCCGTGTGCCTGTGAGCCCCTCACTGTCCCTGTCTGTGCGCACACGAGGTGACCCATCACCAGCCATAGGGCAGATGAATGGGTCACCGGCCTGGGCAGAGCCCTGCGAGCAAGACTTTGGGAATTCGTTACATTCTTTTTTCCCTTAAGGAAATCATCCAGGCATTTATTCCAGGGCTGTGCTAATTTTAGGAGGAAAAGTGGGCACCTTTTCAAAATGCATGGGACAGCTGGTGCAGACCTCAGGGTCAGAGATGTAGGAAATTGGGGGGTTTCTTTGGGGCTTTGGAAACAGACTCCTCCCCCATCCTTCCCTGGACCTGTTGGTTTGGTCCCCACGGGGAAAGGACTCTGCGCCTCTCTCTGGGTGGGTCACCCTGCATCCTGAGCCATTCCCACCCCAAGGTCCCGAGTGGTGCCCACCAAGGAGTAGGCATTTTCCTCAGTTCTTCAGAGGGACACGGGCTAGTTGGAGGGCAGGTATTCAACTGGGAAAGCACAGGCTGAGTGGGAGGTGAGGGGGCAGGTGGGGACTGGGGCTCAGTGAGGGCTGCCATGAGCTGGGGAACTGGGCTTCATTGTGTGTGCATTCATTCATTCATTCATTCATTCACTCACGCCTGCATTCATTCATTCACGTCTGCATTCTTCTGGGTGGTAGTCGAGACGTGTAACAGTGCCGTGGAAAGGACACTGATCAATAGTGTCGGTTGTAAACAGCTCACCACACAGCCAGATCCGTGACTACCAGCCCTGCACCCCTTTGTTCGGGGAACGTTGTTTTGAGGTCCTACTATGTGGTGGGCATGGCTGGAGCTGCGAAGGGCATGGCTGGAGAGGCGAGGGTAGACCAGGGTGACGATTCTCAGCCTCAAATGGAGGGAGGGGAGATCTGGTTTCTTGTTTGACTGTGTCCCATTGCAGACTAGACATCAGGCCTGCATGTCTCCAGTCAGAATGTCAAAAGCCTTAAACCCCCAGAGATCCTGCCTGGCCTGGCCTTCTTTGCCTAACTCAATCTTTGCCCTCCCTGCTCTCCTCCCCTACTTTGAACTGTCGGAAATGTTTTGGACTCAGACCAATGGCAAACAAGGTTCACATTGCTCTTGAACCATGGCACAGAATGAATAGTGAGCTTCTGAAAAGCCAGTGACCCTTGGAGTGGGATCGGCGCCTGCCCAGGCTCCCATTGTCCTCTCTGGATACGGGGAGGGGCCTTAGCTGGCTACTTCCAGAGGGATCGAGATGCATGTACAAGCTACTCTCTCTCGTCCCCACTGCTCACCTCTCCCCTGCTTGGAGACGAATGAATCACTGACTTGGTTCAGGTGTTCTATTTGGGGGGGTGACCCTTGAGTCCAGAAGACAGGAAGGAGGAAGTCCAACTTCAGAGTGCACTATGGGGGTCCCATGGTGGGAACCGGATCTGCCAGGATCTGCTGAGTAAAGGGAACAGCAGGTGGCTCACCCTCCTGAAGGCGAGAGGTGGGTGCATTTATGCACAGGCCTATCCCCCATTGGCTGAGAGTGGCCCCAGGGAGGGTTGATCCCCCCCCCC